ACCCAAACCATTCTATGATTCTATGGTAACCTTTGCAAATATTAATATCTGATTTCTATTTAAAACTGAAACATTTTGTGGAAAATTCTGATCATTTATTGGCACTTTAGATTTGAAACATACTAAACTTACTTTGCTAATATTTAGAGTAAATTTATTAGAAGAACTTACATTTCTTAATGATTGCTTTTGAAGAAAGAGTTGATATAGGTGAAAATCAGATATAATATTTCTTATGGCAAGGTACTATATAGAAAGTATGAAATACAAGATTAATTCTTGGTGTTTAAGTTTAAACATAAAAGTTAAGAGAACTTATATGTACATTGTATAATATATATTTATGTAATTAATTGAATTATAACGTCCTTCTGTCTTGTAAACTATGATACAGTAGATTGTTAATGAGATGATTGTAGCATGATGATTAAGAAGCAACATTAACATGAAGACCTAGCATATCACACTTTGTACTCTTGTTTTTTTACAGTAGTGCTTAATGTCACACGTAAAAGTTTCTCAGAGTTGCTTCGTTTTATCTAATAACAGAACTGATTTGGTGGATTGTTTGATGATGGGGGAGGAGGAAGGAAAGTTTCATCAGCCTTTGAGGAACAGTAAAGATAATTTATAAAGATACTAGAGACATGACCCCACTTGTAACATTTGATAACTACTGTGTTCAAATTCAGTAGCGGAACAGTGTTGTGCCAAGCAGCTGTGTGTTTTAGATTGGAATGCATTGGTTATGAGCCACTTGAACTTTGCTGCCATTTAGATTGTTGCCAGAAATTTAAAAAGAAATATTCTCAAACGTGATCCTGCAAACAGTTAATTTATATTTTTTATTCAAGTAGTCCTACTAAATTGAGCATAAAGCAATTACACCAAGCATTTGCAGGGTAGGGTTTGGTGGTATTCTGGGGTGTTAGGATCTAGGTTATCTAGCGTAAGTGCAGTCATCAGTTGATTGGATATGCCCGTTTTTAGTACAACAGTTGCAGTTTCCTAATTTGAATTATTTTATTCTTCTGGTTCCTTTAACAATTTCTTTGCTTGATGCATCTGTTAATGCCACTTAGGTACTGTCTACGCTTTATCTTTCCATGTGAATGTATTTTTTTTTTAACTCTTGACTTTCATGTTTTCACTTGTGTATCGTCAAATTTTAAAATACACTCAACGCTTCCACTTCTTGTTCAATGAATGCATTTTTAAGTGTTGCAATTTTCCTTTTTTTTTTTTTCACATTTCTTCTCCATTCCTTCTTTATTACCACTGCCAAGTTAAATATCTTCATTTTATTTGTCTCACCTTTTTCTCCATCGTTCACTTCTTTTTTTCTGGACTCTCCCTCTGAAGAGCGACTCATATATGGCAATAAAAAAGGTACAGACCAGACAGAGTAGGAATGTTTTGAAATATGACTTCATATTCAAAACCTGGCAGTACAAGTATTAATGCAGCAAATACCTTTCTGTTGAGAGATATATGTGGCATCTTATTACTATAACCCATTTTAATGGGATGTTTATAAAGACACGTGTATTTTCTTATCAGAAGTCATATTCCAAGACATCTGTCTTTCTGTGCATGAATTTTTTTCCTCCTTTCTTCCATTCCTTTTTTTGTAGAATTTCATTCTTTTACCTATTTTTAAAATTTTATCTTTGGTCCTGCATGTGTAGGGAGCATTCAGTTGTCTGTCTTGCTCTTTAATAATTTTATCGTGAGTTTTTTTTAAGATTGTGCATGGAATGTGTTTGTACAATGTTCCAAAACCTGGTTTGTATAGTACTTTTAGTTTCCTTCAACGGGGATGTCAAAAGGTACTTTTTGATTGTATGTGCAGTTTTAAAGATAGCTGGATACAAATGTAAAAAGAAGCCTACTAACTTAAATTAATGGTTTAACACCTGTTATTTGGAAATTCCAGGGTAGATAGTTATGTGCAGAAAAATTTTTCTGACCATTACTTACCTCATAATTTTCTTTCTGTATAAACTTGTCACTTCCGGGGAATATTTCTAATTCTTGGGAATGCATTAGATTATACAGGTGTTTCCAAAGGTTATGTGAATTCTTTGGAACATAATAGAATCAGTGTTTCAGAATTTGTTTCTTGAGCAGGCATTGGGAATGGAGAATGTGAGAGCTCTTTGTCATATGTCCTCTAATTTAGGGTGTAATCAAGACGTTCTTCTGCAAGCAGATGCCCCCCTACTGTCTCTTCTCTGAACTAACCAGGATTCAGTAGCCACATTAGTACAGTGCTGCAACCTGGAGTAATATGTTTGCCCTTCTGGCTTGGCTGTGTTTCTTCTGGAGGACAGGGGCAATGAAAGATCATGTTAGAAAAACAAAAAACAAACAAGCACTGAAACTACCCAAAACCAGCCTTTCTCCTTTTAAGGCACAGGGACCTTCTGGAGTTGAAATATGGGTACTAGCACTGCCTGAAATCTTTTCAGCCTGCACGTTACAGTTCTGCATCAATGCAGCCCTCAAGTAGGTGTAGGTAGGAGGAAAATT